AAAATGAATAAATATTTTTAAAAAATGAAGTGTTTTTTTTTTATGGGTTTACAAGTGTACAAAGATATTTTTGTACTAACCAAATTAGCTAAGAGGGATCCATGACAATATTTATCCTGTACAGAGAATTGTTTAAGTGTGAGTCCATTCATAGTTACTAAATATACAAATCACCTGTTTAAGCGTTGACAGATTTAATTGTCACCTTCAACTTAGAAAAATGACGTCACACGAGAGCATTTAAAATGTCAAACTGCTATATTGAAACATTGTATAATTGTCCCAAAAATGGCTGGCGTGCGATCTTTTAATATCTCTTTTACTTCGACATAAGAGAAATTCCTTCAATTAAATCCTAAAAATCGAGACGTTCGGTAGTGACGTCGATAGCACACCTTCCAGTGTCACAGTCACGTGAGACAACCCCATATCGTTATTGGGTGTGACGCAATTGATGTGAATGGCTGTGTGTGTTGGCATTGAAAAAAAAAGGCGAAATCGACGTTTTTAAATTATAAATATATTAAAATTATTGCCATTTTTATAAATAATTAAATAGTAATTAATATCTAATTAATTCTTGTTAAATCGTTTTAAATTAATTACGATATTCGGAACGTTAAACTTCTAATGGCAGCTTAACCTTTAGGCATTACTGTCATGAGGAGAAGACGCATTCGAAGGGGAAATCGCAAAAAATGCCATAAATCACCGAAATTGAAGCGAAACCGAATTAAAAAACGAATAAAAAACGTGTAGGAGATTGTAAACTTTCGAATTACTTAAATAAAACACGATTAAAACAAATTAATCCGTTTAAATGAAGTAAAAACTTAAATAAAATTAAATACGCATTAAAATAAGCTGATTCCTTTTGTTATCCAATAAAACGTAAGAATGGGATAAAGATTTAAAGAAGGTAAAAGACAAATGAAAAAATATCAATTTGCCACTTACATATTCGTCCTTTCTATGTCCTCTACCAGTTATAGGTAGCATGGATATGTCGGTAGCAGAGGATGCTAGAGAATCCGCAGGTGAGGGACTCTTCGAACGATCCCTGTCTGGTACATTAAGATGAGCTACCTCGCTCAGCTTTAATCGGTCATCCATAGTGTTTACTGTACAAGTGTACCCAGCCTCCGAAAAATCACTGTTGTAGTGTTATTTGTATATAGGCTGGCTCGCTACTGCGAATTCAACTCATACGATCGATTATTTTACTGCGCATGAATGCTGTGACGTCAGAAAAGAATGCACATCTTCTCCTTTCTTTAAGATTTTTTTAAATAAATAATTAAATTTTAATACTTAATTTTATTTGTCGTTATGTAAAATAAATTTCGCAATTATTCTACTTGTTGACGTTACCAGATTTAGACCAATCACGCGCGTGAGAAAAGTAAAAACGTAAATCGTCATTTTAATCAACAACGCATATTAATTTAAATTTTAAATAAATTTCATTAAATAAATACAATTAATTTTAGGTTTGTAAACACGTTTAATGCCATCTGGAAGCATTTCTGTTCACGTGATCCCCTCTAGACTTCATCTCATTGACCTCTGACGTCATTACGTTTTTATGATGTCAACAACATTTTCCTTCTTTCTTCATAACGCGATTTTTTCCCTACAAATTTTTATTGTTATGAAATTATTTTTATAAATATTTAGAAAATTAATTATCATTTTAAAAAAGTAGACGTATAGGCAATTATTTCTTTAATTTATTTTCGTAATTGATTAAAATGTATTTTTTAAGACGTAGATTTTTCCCTAAAGACCTTAACATTGATCTTTATGTCCTTGAAAAATGTTCGAATTCATCCTTTGCGCATCTCTTTCTGCGCATTTCATCAACTAAATCGATTTGACTTCATAATGGCTTCAGTAATACGTCACAATTTTTGAATTTTAAATGACACAAGGAAAATAAATAAATAAAAACGCCATTTATTTATTATAATTTTACACAAGATGAAAGATAGACTTTAAATTGTTAACAAAAGGGCAATTTCCTGGTTTATTGTAGAAAATTATTCTTAGTTTTTTGTTTATTTAAAAAAAATTTTTCCTTATACACAGGAAATCTTTTTGTTGTTTCACTTTAAAGTAAATAATATCAATACAATAATAATTTTAAAGTCTGTTTCTTGTATAATTTTATCAATAAAACTGAAAACTAGGCCGGGATTTAAATTTGTTGCACCCAAGCTATTATATATAATAGGCTTTCTCTCTTCAAAATAAATCAATTTTAAAGAGTAAAATTCTAAACCGTTGCTTCGTAACGGATGCCCTAAGCTGTATCCTTATAGCGTGAGGCTCTAAGCTGTAATTTCGTATAATGAGGCCTTGTAGAGTGAGGCCCTAAACTTTAGTCTTGTACAGGGGGACACAAAACTACAGCCTTATGTAATGAGATCTAAACTGCAGTCTTACAGAATAAGGCTCTAAGCTAAAGCATCGTACAGCGATGCCTTAAATGCATCTGTTTAGCTTACGTGTAAATCAAATCCTGCGTAATATAAATGACAACTTTAGCAAATTATTTAGCGTATTAAAAGTGAACTAAACGAGGAATTTAAAGAGAATTTTACTATAATACAGAAGGCAGAGAAGCAGTAAATTTAACAAGGACAGGTACACACAGTCACTCTTGTGAAATTTATACTCTGTTGTAACCTAATTTAGTAATTATTTCAAAAAAAAAATGCAATTTTTGATATTTTAATCGTTGAAATTACTAAAATAAAACCGAAAAATACCATTTATTGAGTCAAACTCGTTCCATTGATTTTGGAGATAATATTATCACATCCCGGATGAACTTTTCGTGTTTAAGGATTGAAGTTTTTTATAAAGAACTGCTAATTTTTTTGGTCGGGGAGAGAGAAATTAAGCTAGGAATTTATTATTTAGCATAAAATAATTATTTAAAATATGTATATAATATTTAAAACGGGCCAAGGACGGGCAGGTTCGAGCATATATGGACAAACACACGAACCAGTTCTTAAAACCCGAAGGACATATTTTTTTATTTAATTTAATTTTTTTTTCTTTAAAGTCGGGTATACAACTATTGAACTGTAGAAACCTCGTTACTATTTTTGCAAATTCATCCTCTAACTGAAACTTTCCTGTTTATATACATCTACATTTATATAAATCAACTCTAAATTATTTTATCGACGTAACTACTAAGAATTTCTACATAAAACTGGCAAAAAAATTATCGACTTTATCAACTGTAAAACCCTCTTTATTTTATCTAAAGGTCAGAAATTAATGAGTAAATGATGTTCAATTTGCTTATCTTCAATGGAATTTAATTCATATATATATATTTTTTAAAGGATAATTTGATGAAAATTAGATGAAACATTATAAAATTTTGCTTATATTGTAAGAAAATTAAGAATTGTGGACGTCTGCCAAAATCACCCACCACCTAACTTCATCTATTGATGCAAACATTTTTATATACAGTATTAAATATATAATTATTAAATTATCGCACGTGATAATCTTTAAGAAAAACAACGTAGTACATGTTTTTCTTATATTTAACACCATTAAAACTGAAGAGAGATTGGAAACATTAACTTTCCCATAGCATTAGTTTATATATAAGGAAAATTTGTATATATAAGACAAGATAAGATAGAGATGGAATTTATTTTAAGTAAGAACTGTATAAACATGACTAAGCAACAGTTTTGTAATATTTTATAACATTTACACACGTAAAGAAACGAGATATTTATTGATTTTAAACACGTTTACCTTAAAAATAAGAATTATTAGGGTGTAAAACTTGTACTTTTTAGGCTGGAAAACACACGTTTACTCATTTTACACAACAGAAATCATGCGAAAAAGGATTTTAGACAGTAAAAGAAATTAGTTTTTTAAATGTATTTACCGTCTTTTATTGCCATTTAAGTAAATGAAACGGCGATACAATTGCTATTTTCGTGACATTTTTCACTTTCAAACGACTTTTATCGAATAAAAAAATAAATACTTTACTCTTATTTTTTTTAAACTTAGAAGCAGAATTGTGTGATTTAACATTACATCATCTTTAAAAAATGCATTAAAAATAAATTTCTAATAATATTTAGGTCAAAATATAACTTGCAACACGTTATTTCTGATGTTAAAAGGTTAGAAAAATATCAAAAACGGCGGAAAAAATCGTAATGAACGTAGTAAATAATTTAATTAAATGAAAAATTCAAATTGCCTGACGTCACAGGATTCAAGTAGTCGATCGCTGACGTCATCAAAGATCAAAAATGTTTGTCAAGGATAAGCATTGGAATAGAATTACAGGATATAGGACATATTAAATGGTTAACATCCTGCAAAATGAGGCCACAAATATTAGGGAATGTTTCGAATTAATTGTGTTTTAACATATTTTTTGCAGACAATAGATCATTGTCAATAAATAGATAAATGAAATAATGGCATTTTTCTATTATTCTTATTAATTGAAATGATTTTTCTAAGTGATTTATGTGACGAAATCGTTTCGAATTACATAATAAATTAATTCTGAAGTTTGGCCTTCGTCCATTTTGTATAATTTCTTAAGTCGAAAATTTCGATATAAAGCGTTAAAATCGTCTTAAAATACGTAAAACACGATTGAAAAGTTAGATAAAGAGGTGCCATTTCCTACAAAATGGATTCCTGTTCTGTTTAAAGGAGTGTTTTTTAAATAAAGGAAGCTTTATGAGTTGTTTACACTCTTTCAGGATATTGAAAAACAGTCAGGAAATAGGTAAAATGTAGATAAACAGTACACAAACGTACACATAAAATGTAGTATAATAAACAGCTGCGGTTGTAGTAAATTGATACTTTAACAACTACGATCCGATACCATTAATAAAAATATAAATAAAAGTTTAAAAAAGTAATAATAATTAAAGTTTTAATGCAATTTAAACCTTAATTAAACTCACCTTTTTAAACTTTTTAAATATGCCTTCGTCGGTGGCCATTTCGATATTTCGGTAGCAGGTCTTATCGCGACGGTTTTTAAACAGCAAATAACGACTTTCATTCACATAATTTGACCCTCAACCTAACATTTGACCTCCCACACGAGATTATTCTTCCTGATTTCGTAAGAAATTCCACCAATCAACATCAACTTTGTTACTTATTATCCTCAGCTAATCTGTTACGATGACGTATATGAGGGTATAGATGCTCTATTTGTTAAGGAATTACCCAATAGGAAAGCTAATTTGTTTTATTTTACAATCTAGTACAAGTCTTTAATTGTTATTATTATGTTTTTTTCTTATTAAATCCATTAAAAAAACTAAAAAGAAATGAGTCAAGTTTCCTGATTTTTTCAAAGGTTGATGCTTGCCTTTTATGTTTAAATAATTAAAAACTGTGATGTATCTTGTTTTAAATGGAAGGAAAATAATAATAGTAACAATTATTCTATTTATTTACATCATATCTTTCCTCCCTAATTAGAAATGAGACTATTCCTATATATATTAAGCAGTCGATTTTTATTCAGCACACGCTTTGAACTGTTTCCTGACTCAAATGGATTATTATAACTCAATATATCTGTTAGCTAGTCTAATAAAATCTTTAAAAAAATCTATAAATGTCCTTATTCCAATAATTTAAATTAAATTCTAATAATTTTTCTTACTTTTAACACCATTTAAGCTGTTAAAAAGTTTATTCTTGCTTAGCTTTATCAATTGATTCCATATATCATAGTCTCCATTTGTATATGTTTAAAAAACTAATATATGTATAATAATTATTTAATTCTTTTATATATCCTCTAACAGTCTTTTATCTTGTTAAGTTGTTGTTTAAGAATCTAACAAATAAATTGTTGTAACTAAGAGTGAAGAACATTGAGGTTTATTATGATGAACTTAAGGATATAAACTGGTTTTGCCTCATTTAATTACATTAAATATAACTTTATATTAATTCTAACATCATTAATGTACAAAGTACATTCAACTCTCCTTCCTAAACTCTTAACAAACAATAAGAAAATTGTTCTCTTTAAGTTAATTAACATTAAAACTAATAATATTCATTATAATATGACTATATATCTGTTACTTTCCATTCTAATTTATAAAAAAATTTAATGTTAAAGTGATGTTTATATGTTTATTATAGACTATAATTAAATGATTATGTGTAAAT